GGGTTTCCGGAAAAAAATTTTCCGGGAACAATTTTTTTAGATAGGGGCCCCTAAAAAAATTTGTCCCGGGCCCCCGCCAACCTCTGGGCGGCCCTGTTTCTATATCTAAATATGGACGAAACTCCACTCTATCTTACTCTTGCCATATCCAATAAAAAGTTATCGAACAACGCCCAAATATGATGACTGGTATACACTTCTTTCATCTCGACTTCTGTGTCCACATAACAGTGAATAAGAAAGTAAATATACGCATCCTTCACCTGAAATATAAAATAAAGGTAAAGTTAACAGAATTAAAAGTTAAAATTTTCAAAAATATATAATTACTTTGACAATTAGTATCCTACACTGAATACTAGTATAAGAGTACACTTTATGTCTGATTGCTCATTTGTTATTTTGTTCCGACATTCGTCGTATTCGCATCAGCAGTCATGATTGAACAAGCTGAAAATGCAACAGAGTTGGCGAAACACTTTCACCATGTAAGCGTCATATATATACATATACATTTTGATGAAAGTTAATGATAACTTAGAATATTTTCCCTTGAAGCAGAATGAGACAATATTTATCCATTTTATCTTGGAAAGCAAAGAGAAAAAAGTCGAGCTGAGGAGCCTCGGCATTAAAATCCAGTCACTTCTCCTGCTCATCAACGTGTGATGTGGTGCAAAATATGTATGTATCACTACTTACTTCAGACATACAGTCAGGATGTGTGACAACTCTGAGAATATCATCCAATGAAAGCAGACTATGACATTTAATTTCAGTATTAGCATTCTTTCCTTCAGTGCACGTAGCCAAGAGCTTGACAAGATGTATGTGATATGCAATAGAACTTGATTCACTTAGATTGTCTGTCTCAGATCTCATCAGTTCAAAAAAGGGTTCTTGCATCTTTCTTTCATTAAAAAATAACAGCACCTCTTCTCCAGCATTCAGAAACTAATTAAGAAATTAATTTAAAATAAGTTGTTATTTTAAAGATTTACATGAGCAGACTTCGGAACAATATACGACTGAATGAGGATGGAGGACTTTAATATAGTTCATGAGGATGAAATCCATCATATTACCATGCATGCACCATTTTGTTGCTACAAATTGCATTGTTTTAAACATTTTTCACTAAATGTCAGGCAAATTTGCTTAACTTAAAGCACGCTAATGTTTGTTGTTGTAAAATTAATTGTAACAGCTTTGTTACAGAGCCACCACCCAAAGGCTTTCCGAAAATTATTGGAGTGGGCAGTTGCCTCCCCCCTCCCCTCATGCTTTATCTGGCAAAGTTGCTGAGAATACTTCTTGCTAGTATATAATGCACGTTAATAATAGACCTTATGCATAATGACGTCACAAGGCTTGATGCACGCGTGGAGTGCTGGTCTTAGTACTCATCGCCAGGGAAAGTTAAACAATTCAAAATGGCCACTATCGAAATTTTCCCGGGCGATGACTACTAAGACCAGCACTCCTCGCGGGAATCAAGCCTTGTGACGTCATTATGCATAAGGTCTATTGTCATGTGCGAATAGTTTATACACTCCAAATGATTACGTACAGCAGGTACAATAAAGTAAACGGGAACAAAATAATCTTCCAATTGATATTCATACCTCTACCATGATAAAATCCTGGCATTTTCTCACAGCTTGATTCTCTGCTTTCACTAACGTTTGTAAAGTCTTCAAATACTGCACCTGGCGACCTTCAGTTTCAATGGCTCGTACAAGATGATGAATAACCTTGTCGGGAACTTCATTACATAAAGATAAGTTATCTTGAAAGATATGTTGCAGTGTATGGGCTTCCTGAAGCTAGATGTGGATAAAAATTTATAAGCAAATCATACAGACAATGGAATACAGACAATGGAATGTGAAAAAAGATTGTGTTTCCACCGGCGATTCCTCTGTGGCAACAGGACGTTTTACTGTAGTAAACCATATTTGGAATTAAACTACAATAACCTAATCATATGAATGTGCAAATTTAGCTTATGACGATAATGCGAACTTGAAAACTTTTTAGGTTTTCACACCGTAACATGTGTCACTTAATTAAGTATGCACAATTTGCTCTAAAAACATTTTCAAATAAACCGTGTGATAAATGAACTATAGTTTATTCATTGCATGAAGGTATGAGAATCGGGGAGTATAACCACATTCACGAAAGATTTTTTACAACAAAACGTGTCATATTATGTGAGACACATCGATCACATGCAACTTTTCATACTTGTACAGTAATATTTGTTGTCCCCCAAAACGAACAAACGGACCTCATTTGCCGGTGATTACAATTTTAAAAATCTTAGATGGCGAACATCATGCAATAATCCCAACTTCAATTTTAAATCTTACCCCAGGAACAAGGAACAGATCCAAATGTTTATATAAGATTGCTTGGTTATGTTTGTTGGTCAGACAAAACAACTGTAGAAACTCGTGAGCTAACGTCATTACGTCTTTCATGTAGATGTCTTTTTTCTATAGAAATTTAAAATACTCATTAATAATTCATAAACCTTGTGGCAAATCATGTCAGCCATAATATATCACGTGGAGTGACTTTATATCTGATAAAACACATGTGGCATTATATAATTGTTCATCCTAATTAGCATGATTATATAATGGTTCATCCTAATTAGTATTCTTTTGTAGTCGTATTTTAAGCTATTCAAAACACTCGTTGTCGTGTTTTATCAGATATAAAACGCTCGGCTGCGCCTCGCGTTTTATATCTGACAAAACACTCCTACTCGTGTTTTAAATAGTACAAAAAATATTTCTTTCATGTAAAATCGTAGATTTGAAGTGATAAACCAAATACGGTTACAGCTAGCAACGAAAGTGTATAACTTCCTTGGAAGGGCTTTCTCTCATTTGGTAAGTGGTACTATATATATCCATTGGGTCTACCATCACTTATCAACCCACCAATTTGTTTTGTTAGCTTACTACCACCATTCCTGTAACACACATAATGGAAAATTCAACTTTGGATTCATATTCCCAAGTTCTATATCGCCTGGGTACTAATATCACATCCGACATAACCACCCTTGCCCAGCAAGGTTTTCGGTCTTGCGTCTTGCGCGTAGGGTGAGAAGACTGCCATGTCATGGGGTGTGTATATTGATTTAACAATGGTATATAAAATTTATAAAAGTTTTGTCTTACCTTTTCATAAGGAATCTGGAGAAGTTCAACAACGACTGTATGAGCTCCCATATTACGAAGTAATCTTTGTTCGTGTTTGTTGTTCTTTTTCTTGCCATGTGTAACTGTCACACATAACTCACACAGATGTTCAAGGATCTGTAACAGAGGAAACAGTAAATCTTGATTGTCCAGTACATGCACGCATGCTTATGCCCGCTGTCACTCAATTCACATTTAGCATTATTATGATACTAGAGCGTACTGTTTATATATTGCACTCTTTCCCCGATGGCCTCGTTTTCATATGGTTATTTCCTCATGTTTCGTGAACAATAGGGTGAATGATAGATCTGTGATTGGGCTCAAGATCAAAGAGAAACATATATTCATGCACGAAACATGCATGTGGATTTATATAATAACGTTAAGAATTCAAGCGCTTTCATTGGTCGAGAGCCATGATCTATTTGAGGAGAGACGCGCGGAATTACGTCACACAAAACTTTGTTTTGGGTTTTAAATAAAAATGACTTAAGGTAGCCAATAGCATCCCCTTATTTGTTTTGATCATGTACGCGTGATATTTGTAAAATGTCGACTTTTTCAAATTTCCGAATGTTTGGGTGGATAAAAAATAAGCTATTTACCTGTTTAATTCGTGGTTTTTCTTTTTATTATATAAAACAAATAGATAAGATTTTGCCGTTGTCTGTTCAGTTAGATACACAGTATGGCGTCATAATGAACAAAAAAGTGACCCACTCCCCTTTTGTTCTTCCCACATTATGACGTCATACTGTATCTATAACTGAACAGACAACGGCAAAATCTTATCTACATGTTAAATACCCTTCATGCATGTGCACCTGCCATGCTAAAACAGGTAAACATGGAAACGAGGCCATTGGGGCAAAAGTGCAATAAACAGTAAAGTTTATTAGCATACAATGGAAGAAAGGTGACTAAGCTTTGAAACATGCGACTGGATTGGTTGGTAACGTAAATGTCTATTAACATTAATTTAATTCCCAAATTCCACGAACATTTAAAAATTTATATACATTCATATTATAAGGCCAAGGACACATAACGTATGGTTTTACCTTCTTGATGGTTTGGTAGTTTGTTAACAAACTGGTGTCTTCATTTGCGTTATCTTCATTTTGGGACTCTTCACTCGCCAGTCGTGAACGATATGTCTACAACAAAAACAAGATTGACGATAAACAATGAGTTATATCATTAACTATGAATATTTCGTTTCCCTGGTGATGGCGCTGAAAATACAGTAGACTTGTTCCAAGTTTCGCTCGAATTGGCTAATTTTTGATAGGGTCTATTGATCTCATAGTAGACTGGATAGACCAGATTGACAATGAATCTCATCTCATAGACCCTATCAAAAATGAAACCAACTCGAGCGAGACTTGGGGAAAGTCTAAAAATACATCACAAAGAAGAAGCACATTTACGTTGTAATACATGAACAGTACGGGTTTATGGAGGATTTCGTTTTAATTATAAACGACTTTTAGGCTTGCGCATGTTTGTTTAAGCCTTGTTTTTAAAAGCAAAACAAGCACAAGAAAAGACAAAAGTGAAAACGTAGAAGTTCGGTGGAGCTTGTGATATAGCCTAATCTTCTACAATAAGCTGGGCCGCTGGGGTATTAAAAAGTTCTTACTGCTTTCGCTTTGTTAGTCTCAGGAAGTAAGGGACGCTTTCTTTTCTCGCTTACAAGTTACTTAATATGAGCAATACTGTGAACTGAAGTACCAAATCGCTGTACTGGAGAAAACTATAAGAAAACGTTAAATGTTTGCACACAACCCTTATTTTATTTTCAACACCTAATTTTATTTTCATACCTGTAAGTCGACACTTTCGGAAAAACTTTCCAGGGATTTCCCATCCATTTTTGACTGATCTTTTGCGTTGCTCTTTTTCCTATTACTTTCACCCTTTTTACCGTCTGATTTCTTTTTCGCTTTAAATACCCACAACTCTGATTTCTCCACTAACAATCTCAGTTCATCAAGGGAATCTTTGATAGTTTTGTAGTTTTCCACATCCTTGGCTGTGACCAACAGTTGCACCTAATAATATAACATATTGTCATCACCGGTGCATAATTTAGTTCACCAATTTATATTTCATTCTCGAAATGTAAAGCTTTAAGTGAAACAGGTAAGCGATGCGACAAAATTGTTAGTTTCACACAGTGGTTATAGTGCAGGACTTACTTACTGTCGTCCGCAGGCATTGCCTTTACATTGGCGGGCAGAATTTGATTGCAGGCAAAATAATCTTAGTTATTTCTCCATCTTATCAGTAGTAACAAATATCTTACTAATATCACAGGTCCTCCCCAGGTGATCCAATTTTTTAACAAAAATAGCGAGAGCAATTTAGACAGAACTGTTAAAACTATGCAATATAAATAAAATTAATTTATAGTTTTTAGAATAGTAAATCGCAAAACTTGCCGCGGCTGCTTTATTTACGTACTTATACGCTGAAACCAACGTTGGTGTGAAACAACACCCTAATTAATATCTATACCACAACACAACTAACTTGCCTGTTTGAAAGCGTGAAGTACTTCTTGTCTTTGACTGAAATGCTTAAGTAAAAGCTTCAGAGCTCCGACAACAAGTTGTGGATAGTCGTGGATAATCAAGGATAAGAGTACACGAAGAAATGTGCAACCACCAGTTCCATCAAAATCCAAGTCGTGAGTAATTTTGGCTCCTACGATACTGGTCCTAGGAACAAAGAATGCACAGTCGTAAGTCATGTACACTCAGATAACCAGCACATCTAATCCAGTGTAAAGGAATGAAGGATCTGGTACTGGACACAGAATAGAACTCCATTTTCCGTACTTTTTTCCTGAAAAGCACAGGTCTATGACTACTTGGGGAATAAAATCCAATACACATCACATGATATTGAGTAATTTCGATTTTTGAATATTTCCATTTCGTAACTAGCTCCAGCCCATTATGCATTAACATACAGTATACAAATGCAAATTGTTAGTTTTGGATAGCGTGTACTGAAAAAGTTTCATGTAGGAATTATGCTATCTCCATTACTGGCTCTTTATTGTAGTAAACAAAATTTTAAACTCTTTCAAACAAAGAAATTTTATTTGTATTCTAAAACTGAGAACTCGCATGGTGTTATTAATCCTTGTTCTATTATAATTTTAGAGCAGTATAGGTGGTTGGCAGTATTTAATGTAAGAACTATGTGAAGTAAATAAACAATAAATAAATATAAATAGAAAAATTAATCGTCTGATTTTGCCATACAGCATATTTAACTGCAAGCCAATCAGAAGACACCTAATTACTACAATGTACAATACTTATAATTATTGTTGAGTATTGTTACAAAAAGAATGATTACCCGGAGCCTCCAAATAACTGTTCTGCTTGAATTCCAACACGCTCTAGATCAATTCCTAAAGCAATTGTAAAATTCATTAAATTCTGTGTTATCCCAGGAATTCCACAGTATGAACAATGAGGAGACCAACGTTTAGTTTTCAATACATACATTATGTCAAGCTATGTTTATATAAGTCGTATAGCAGTGATATGAACGGTAGACATGTATGTTGTACGTATTTTCCGCGACAGTTATCCTGTCAATGTCAATCCCATGGAAAATGCCTCACGTTGACATTTAAACCTCGATTTAAACACCACAAAAAATCCATTACTACACGTCAACTTACTATATCCAGTTTTAGTTTGAAGGGATTTTGTCTTAGAGCAAAGGGCAAGGAGATTTTGAGCCGACGAAACTTTGCCAGCCCATTCGGTGTTACAATCATACACTGTCACTGCCAAAGTGGTAACTAAGGTAAATTTTGTAGCGGCTCGATACATGAGAATTGAAGAGTAACATCTTCAGTTGAGTATTGCATTCGAATTTTAATAAGTGAAAAGTGGCGTCAGGATAACTGAAAATACATAACGGGCATGTCGTTCTTATTGTTGATTTACAATTTCGGGTGAGCAAAGTCCCAGGCCCTATGTATATGATATCATAATTTTAAAAAAAAAACAATAACATAACATTTTTGTTCGCGAGAGTCCGAACTTGAGAAGGGTATATATGCATATATGCGCTCCACCACAAATAAATTACGAATCACCAATAACAGGTGAAGATAAAGTATTCTCACCTTCACTTCCTACAGCGCTGCCATTCTTAACATCAAACTCTCGTTTGAATATAGTCAGTAGACTTGAAATTCTGTAATCCAGACGAACATTTAGAATAAACTCTAAAATTTCAATAATCTTCACTTTTGTTTCCATAACAATGCGATCTTTCTCGATATCAGAGCATTTCAAATTGCTCATTTTATCAGAAGACATTATTAATCCCCAGGGATCTTTGGCACCAGGCAAGACCATGCGGGTCATGAGGGTACCTATTGTACTCACAGACCTCGAGACATCCCGTTTTGATGTCACTAAAAAGAAAAGAAATGTTATCAACATTTTTGCACACGTTGTCGCATTTTTTCTGGGTGATTTTCCATATAAAAATCCCAAAATGAGGTCACAAAAAATTTGGTGCGCAGTTTTGTATTGGAAGTAATTTAAGTTAGGACTGGTGTTAATGTTAGGAACAGGATTAGAGTACGATTGTAGGAAATATCTATGACCCTTCGAATCTCTAATGATTAGGCCAGATCAATGTACTTTCAATAATATATTTTACTAAACAGCGAAGACATATATGCATGAGTTTAGTCTTTGTAGGCAAGTTATTCTTTTTTGCCAAATTTTGTACGCGTTATTCTGTGGTAAGTTTCTCAAATACGTCAGCAAAGTAAAACAAAATATGAGAAATTGTGTTCACGTGCAGATCGGCTTTTCCCATGTTACATAACGATCGCTGAGCGTGACTGGCGTCCCAGTATGTTGCACCTAACACGACAGCCACACGTTAATTAGGTAGAGAAGGCACACGGTCACATACTTGCAGTTTTCTTTTTCACAGCATTAGCACGATCATAAGCTCGCTGTTCACCATCCAAGATAGCCAGAAGTTTCATTGTAAGTTTGATCAAATCATTCAAACCGTAGAATCCAAAATATATCAAGTGTCGAGCTATTTGAACAACCTATTGAACAAACAAACAACACTATATTACATGTAGGTCTCATCTCTATTCCAAACATCAACCCGCACACTCCAAGTTTAGGGCAAGCCCTAAAAATGAATGAAAATGTTCAAGAACCTCCCAACCAACGAAAAACATGTCACATTTCTTATTATAAACTCCACGCTCAAATTATTAGAGAAAAAATTATAGTTTTCCATTTTAACAATAAATTAATGAATCAGAAATATTAAACATTTTAGTATTATCTCAAAATATGTACATTTTCAGTACACCGCTTGTGCATTTTCCGTAGACGCTTGTGCAAGCATCTTTCGATTCTCCCTTGCAGGCCCTTAGTGCGAGGATGGGAGGACAGAAAACAAGGCCATACAATGTATTCTTCACTAGGACCCGGATACCGTCGTTTGCATGTAAAGATCTACAGCCGCAGATGGAAAACATACCAACGGTATTTGCAGTAGAGCTGCTCCCATCGGTTCATTTTCATAATCGATTAATCATTATTACCAATTAATCACATTGGTCAATTAATTTAAATTTGACATGTGTCTACTTTGTTGTCACCCAACAATCAGGGGCCGGTTGTATCAAGCCCGTTTAGCTTAAACGGTGGTTAAGCTCAAAATAGAAAGCAAGTCTATAGATTCATTAAACAACCAAACTAAAAGTTTTGAACCTTAATAGAACGATAATGTTTACAACTATATATTCAGTGCAGAATATTTAAGTTGACTGATTCACGAAAGATATAAGAGTGTTATTTAATTTTGACTTATCCACCGTTTAAGCTAAACGGGCTTGATACAACCGGCCCCAGTTATATATCTACGTTTGAAATTATTGGTCACGTAGTTCTCGCGCACGCAGAGTTCACAGAAGTAGACAACTGACAAGATCTTTTATAGTTTACGTTTGACACTTCTAATAATACTGTAAAGGAAAAATCCGCTCTTGAAACGCAGCGCGATTTTTCAATTTTCAACTGAAAGTTAATAAAAACCGTGTATGAAATTTTTAAAGTTATATGAAGACCAAATGACTCAACACGCTACTAAATATCTGAAAAACATAAATCAGGATCAAGGTTACCTGTCAGTAAAAGGAAATACTATTGAATCCATCATGTCTGCAGGATTGTAGCCTGCAAACAGGCGTTTATTCAGGTGGTACGAGGCCCAGGATTGTTATAGATGATCCGATTGCTCCGATTATTGTTAAATATAATCGATTACGGAAAAAAAAACGAAAAAATAATCGACTAATCGATTAATTGGAAGCAGCTCTACTTTGCAGTCATTTGATGGTAAGATCTACTGTGCATATTATTCTAACATAACAAACCTCGTATGTCAGTTTATTTTGTTCCTTGTTGTTAAATGCCCAGATATTTGAACTAATTTGCCGCAAGTATGCTTCAACAAAGTCGACGGTTTTTGTGAACTTTGCGCGGTTCTTCTTTCCAAAAATATCTTGTTTGTCGTAACTAATCAAAAGAAAATTTGAAGTCATTTAATATGTAATATACAATATACAGTATTAAGCGCTCGTTTTGAACAAGAAATACAAGAAAAATAATAAGTAACATTGGTTAGGCTGTAAGTTTCAACTAGAAGATGTCATTTCTTTTTCACATAAATAATTTAGAGAACTCGGCACTTCGCGCACGGGACTCCTTCGCCTACAATATACTTGGAGAACGATATTGTTAGATGTGATACAGCCATATATGCTCCTATTCCCAGGATTAAGCATGGCTGATAGAAAATATAGTAACATATAGATTAGGAGGTCCACAAAAAGTCTTCTAAGTTTTCAAACTCCGAACGTGTGTATATAGAGGATACAACTATACCTGATGAACATGAATGGTGAGTGACCGTTGTATTGTTTTTTAACGTAATGTAGCGATCGTCTAATAGCAAAGGCTTCAATCGCCCGACAATTTAATACGTAAGATTTCTACACCTCCAGATTCATCTCAACATTATATGAACTATGGTAGAGTTGTTTGTGATGTTACTCTGAGTGTATATCCACACCGGGCGAGCTTGAAAAATATGCCCGGCCATGGTGGGAATCGAACCTACGACCTTTGGAAAACTAGCCAAGTAGAGTTAATATATACATAGTACTTACTCATCAATGCTGAGTTGAAGTGGAATTTCCGACCACAGTCGTGCATATCTCACTGGAGTTATTGGTTCTTGTGGATCTCTATCGATGTGCATATGTAACATGAGACGACAAAATGCTGCTCGAAGTTCACAAGGCAGTTCTTCATCTGCCATACATCTACGAAAATAACAGTGTAGGTAAGTTATTATGCAGTTCATTACAAGTGATTAAATATGCAGTAGTATAACTTACAAGGAAAGTAGTTCAACACATATCATAAACATAACAATCAGTATAGCAATATTTAGTAAAACACATAAACGTATATACCTTTGAACAAGATCAACATCTAGTTGTTCGCTTAGTCTATTGATTGCCAAGTATTGTCGATCAAAACACATGTATGCAAATAGATCCAGTTGATGTCTACACAAAAAACATCACAGTCAAACATCAAAGTAAACTTTTGTTATAATATACTATATATATATGAAATCTGCTGTGTTGGTGTAATGTACTCAGGTGAATAAGATGTTTGTATGATGTTACTCTGAGTGTATATCCACACCGGGCAGGCTTGAAAAATATGCCTGGCCACGGCGGGATTCGAACCTACGACCTTTGGAATACTAGCCCAATGCTCTTCCAACTGAGCTACGTGGTCAGGACGGTTCGAGTAAGCGATATTTCGGAACTGAGTCTAGTTCCTTCGATATCAGTGTAATCTAATATTTATGAAATCTGCTGCCCGGTGTGGATATACACTCAGAGTAACATCACACAAACATCTTATTCACCTGAGTACATTACACCAACACAGCAGATTTCATAAATATTAGATTACACTGATATCGAAGGAACTAGACTCAGTTCCGAAATATCGCTTACTCGAACCGTCCTGACCGCGTAGCTCAGTTAGAAGAGCATTGGGCTAGTATTCCAAAGGTCGTAGGTTCGAGTCCCGCCGTGGCCAGGCATATTTTTCAAGCCTGCCTGGTGTGGATATACACTCAGAGTAACATCACACAAACATCTTATTCACCTGAGTACATTACACCAACACAGCAGATTTCATAAATATTAGATTACACTGATATCGAAGGAACTAGACTCAGTTCCGAAATATCGCTTCAGTACTCGAACCGTCCTGACCGCGTAGCTCAGTTGGAAGAGCATTGGGCTAGTATTCCAAAGGTCGTAGGTTCGAATCTCGCCGTGGCCAGGCATATTTTTCAAGCCTGCCCGGTGTGGATATATACACTCAGAGTAACATCATACAAACATCTTATTCACCTGAGTACATTACACCAACACAGCAGATTTCATAAATATTAGATTACACTGATATCGAAGGAACTAGACTCAGTTCCGAAATATCGCTTACTCGAACCGTCCTGACCGCGTAGCTCAGTTGGAAGAGCATTGGGCTAGTATTCCAAAGGTCGTAGGTTCGAATCCTGCCGTGGCCAGGCATATTTTTCAAGCCTGCCCGGTGTGGATATACACTCAGAGTAACATCATACAAACATACTATATATAGTATTATCATTTTCCAGGATAACTTCCTCAATTTCACGTTCAGCGACTCTGCCCTTACATTAAGTGAGCTTAAGCAAGTGCTCGACGTTTTTGTCAACATGGTATAACTAATTTTTGCGGGATTTTGCATCATATTGGTCATGTACAAGGAAGCCAAGAACTATAAAAATCTTATGCTTTGTCGTATGTGTTGAAAATTACAACAAACTGACACAAACACAGTTTCTAAACTGTGACAAAAACGTCGCTTGCTTAAAGTGCCTATGACACGAAATTTCACCCCAAATGTTTATGATTGCATTGTAAAGATCACTTAAAATGACTTAATAATTTCTTTGATAGAATTTTGGTAACTTGTTTCCTTTTCAAGATATTCAACTTTGTTTCATATGTAAATATCACCGGTGTGACATCACATCGCATAATGACATTTTGAAAACGCAATATTTTACCTTGATAAAATATTTTTACAAACAAATACAGAGAGTTAATTACCAGTTATGAAATTAATACATATACAAGAGCAATTTTTAAGCTTTTTAGATACGTATTTGTCAAGAAAACTACACTTTTCTGAAAACTCATTATGTGATATGATGTCACACCGGTGATATTTGCATATGAAACAAAGTTGAATATCTTGAAAAGGAAGCAAGTTACCAAAATTCTATAAAAGAAATTATTAAGTCATTTTAAGTGATCTTTACAATGCAACTATAAACCTTTGGGGTGAAATTTCGTGTCATAGGCACTTTAAGCTCCCTAATATTGCTAATCCTTGCAATCTTAATCCGTAATCCTAAGTTAATGACTAAAAGAGATGGACAGGGAGTTTACGGTAAGGTTTTTCACGTTTTAACAATTTTGAAAACCAACGGCCATCTTGAAAACCTCCCTCTCATCCGTCCACTTTAGCAACGACTTTAATCCTAGTCTCCTCCGCATGCATTAGACCACAACATGCCTGCGGAGGAGTCTAATCCTAGCCCTAATCTAAGTAATATATGGAAGTCACCAATCATTCCTTTCTTAAACATTATCTCAACAATTGAAGAAATATGCTTCTGGTTGATCACCAGCGGCTGAACGATAGTGTAATGAAACCACCAAGTATAGCCAAATTTCTAATAAAATTTATACCATTCTTTATTACACTCATCTCCTGCAGTGGCCCTGCAATGTAGACCACACTTGTATAACCTGTTATTCTACCTGTCTTACCTGTAAAAATTCATAATTTCAACATCTTGTCTGTCGCCACGTTTAAAACCATCAGCAAGTTCATGCTGACTCTTCTGTACTGTTCCATTGTCTGTACACCATTCTACATGCACAACGTCATCGATAACCCTAAACAGAGCAGTCCGTCAGCACCTGGAATTTCAACGTTCCACCGTGTGGGGCACCATGAAAATGGCGTCAAAATGGCGTGGCATATCCATACATGGGCACAACACGCCATTTTCACGTTGTCTTTGACGTCCGCGTCCTCGATCTAAATCTGTCTGATAGGGCCATTTATACGAGAGAAAATAAGTCGCAACTTAATTAAAGGCTGCTCTCCAGTTAAGCGTTTTTCATACGTGCGTGTACGCACGTAAAAGTTTAAATCTTTCTAAATTTTATACAAGTACTAATTACCTCAACAAATGCATATTAAATCACACAGAAAACTAAATTCTTTCCTTTTATTCAATTAGTTATTTTATAAATAAAATTTAAAAAGATTTAAACTTTCGCACGTATGAAAAACGCTTAACTGGAGAGCAGCCTTAAGTCGTGATAAAGCGCGTATATTATATTGTACCTTGTTTTTATGAGGAGATCAGAGTTTGAAGATGATTCAAGGACTGATTTATAGATCAATTCTTGAGTTGCAGGTATGGCTGTGTTGTTAGAAACACACAAATCTGATAAATACACCAAAAATCTACAAATGTAAGAAAAAATCATATTAAATATCACAGATATGGTTGTAAACAAACTAGTAACTGCTTGTGATAAACCACGTTTAATCCATTTTAACAAAAATCCTCGTACCTGGGGCCAGGCCACTGGAACCCTGGGCGGGTTCAGGATTCGAGTTTCCTGAAAAGGCGATGGTTCAAACTGCGTCGGCGGTATATAAATGCCTTATCTCTGCAATCGGAGTTTGATTCCTGCAGTATGCAGTCGGGTATATGGGTGTTGATCATAAGGGGCCTGTCTTTGTAGCTCTATGCAGCTCACCGTGTTTATCTGTATTTTCCTACTGAATAACCTGACAAAGGGCCAACACCCGAAATAGCATGATGAGTTTCAGGCTGAAGAAAACCAACTGCACCCAAGGTTAAATATAACTATACCTGCACTCTCTTTTTAATCTGACAAGGCTGACAAAAGTTTCAATTTCTGTTGCGGTAATATGTTTCTCCAGCAGTTTCCTGTTGTTGTGAACTAAATCTGTGATAGTGTCTTCAGCCATGATATCATAACCAATCTGAGCTTGCATAAAACCAAACTGCTTGGCAATATACTCCTGCAAAAAATAGGTCGGACGAGTCAGATCTTGCCTTCCAACCTAATGCTTCTGACCCACTTGTTACTGCAAATTTCATGCACGTTTTTATAAATAATAGTTTACCAATCCTTTCATATAATATCATAATACCCCCACTCCTTCTCCAAGTGCCCGCCACGAATACTTTCGCAATAAATCGGATTTCCTCTATTAGACGGGTAACTTGTCGCGGCTGGGCTGGAGGAGGTACCATTGGTTGGGTAGGGGTCCCATCATTCCCGTAATCTTTATTCTGGTTATTGGTGGCGTGACTGTTTATACATCGTAACTAGTTAAGCCTGATTCCCAGTTCAACCGTATCGTACTGAATCGTAGCGACTAGCGCATTTCTTCGTTTCCTGAGCACTAAGGGACCGGTCATTATTTATGGCGGGGGGTGGCACCGAAGAGAAAAAGGTTGGGTAAACTAAATTTTGAGTAAGTAAAAGGTTGGGTAAATGAAAAACAAAACAACTCAAGGGTTGGGTAGTAAAAAAATGTTGTCATTTCCAAAGCATGACTCACTGAAATATTGGGGACTAAAAAGCAATGGCAACAGTAAGCCCTACTCTGGGGCGATAACAAGATAATGCGAGTTTAAGCAATTTTAGGTGATTTAAGCAAAATCTGCAATTTAAGCAATGCGAGTTTGAGCGATATAGGGCAATCTAAGAAAACAATTAAAATTTTAGGGAATGCTGTTTTAGGTGTTTAGAGGTAATTTCAGGAATATACAACTATATCCCTGATGACTCCAATGAAATTACCATTAACCTATGCCAAGCATCCAAACATGAGTGTTCCCACAAACACACACACATGCAGTGTATGAAGCAAAATATACAATTTAACAAAAAAGTTGAAGTCTGCTTGAGGGGGTTCTGGAAACAAACAATACACTGTATGCGCATGACGATCAAGTGTTTAAAGGGTAAATAAGCTCAATATTCATGACTTTTTTCATCCATTGTCTATTTCGAAGCCATTGGGGTATTATTAAATTCATGACACAACTATAATGGGCTATTCCAATTATTATCTGCACCCCCCCTGTTGAGGAACACCTTTCTCATGTCGGTACTCCCCTGGAATTTCCGCAAATTTTCATGTAAAACTTACCCCTTCCCATGGAATTTCCTTGTAAAAATTACCCTTCCCCATGGAATTTCCATTTTCAATTAGGCCTTCCCCATGGAATTTCCATTTAAAATTTGGCCGTGTCGATGGAATTTCCATGTGTAAATTACCCCTCCCTATGGAATTTCCATCATGGGACATTTACTCCCGGAAATTTCCCTCTAACATATGTCCTCCCAGGGAATTTCCATCCCATCAAATTTACCCCTCCCTTTGGAAATTCCATGTGAGAATTACTCCTCCCCTTGGAAATCCAGAGCCTGAATGCCCCCTTCTCTGGAAATTCCAGGGTTAATGTATTCCCTCCCCTGGAAATTTAAAGTAATGCAACTCTCCCCTGGAAATTCCAAGATTAATACACCCACTCCCCTGGAAATTCCAAGATTAATACACCCCTCCCCTGGAAATTCCAAGGTTCCTCAACAGGGGGGGTGCAGATAATAATTGGAATAGCCCAATACATGATCACATCAGCCCCTTCGCCATCTCTCCCCACTACAATACTTCATGTAAACACGTCATATGGGCATCACTGTTTTTTTACAAAGAGACGCCTGGGTACGAGGCAGTGCAATTGCAAACAATTTCCAAAGGAGTAGGGTACAGAATTGCAATATAACAACAGATAAGTAAATTATACATGTCATGAACTTACCAGTTTGTGTTGAGTTAAATTTAAAAATTTTTATGACATCAAATATTATTTATTTCTTTGCAAATCAAAACATTTTAAAATTCTCGTGTTTTGTTTTGTATTGCGCCCGCGATATATTAATGGTATTAACCGCTATGAATATGATATACATTTTTAATACATTACATTTGCGCTCAAAAGTTCAGGAAGCGAGTTTCTAGAAAGGATGAAAACTCCGTTTTATATATGGCATGTAAAAGGTAATCATTGTTTACTGTTTACTGTTTATTTTGTATTCAGGTATGGGGAATTTGAGCGATGAGAGTTGCAAAACTTGCAAATGTAGTCTGACTAGTTTCTTTGACGTCATCATGCAACTATTTAATATTGTGCTACATTCATTATTCAATTTATTCGCAGCAATTAGCCTTCTATAAGCCATACAAATGATTATAGCTTATAGCCCACCTTGCCTTTAACATTGATCCTATATATAATGAATTAACATAACTAACTTGATTATGTTGCTAGTCGAGTATGTGACCTATGGGTCTTCTAGATCCTAGAGTAGCACAATTAATATAAAGTCTCCGTATTAAGGCGGTAATATTAAAGACTGTTCTTATTTATGCATGACCTTTGACTATTAAGTGGCCAAAAACTGTGTCTACAGTAGTCAACTTATTCCACTATCCAGGTTGCATCACTTTTGATTCAAAACACCCGGGTTTATTATACATGGATTTGCTAGCAAAATAGCAGCAATTGATGAACTTGGTGTTATACTAAGATTTACTAAATGTGTAAAGAAACAACGAAAACTATCTTGATCAATTTCCGATGGGATCTCCAAAGAAAGTAGCTACATGTGCAGACAACATGAAACTTCAGACTGCAGAAAATTTCACAATCCGT